CAACTGAATCACGCTCGAGTGCTTCGACTGTCATGAACTGGTGCATTATCCTGCATGAAAACGGGACTTTCTTGCTGATTTCTACGCCAGAAAGCAAGGAGACGTCGTCGCATGACTTTTAGATGACGGAAGAAATCATTTCTTTTTTCATACGGAGCGCAGTTTCAGACGTCATGCGATGGCAGCCCAGACCATGAGACCACATCCACTGAAGTTCCGTCCGGAAAAATGAAACTTGTCTTTCCTCAGGTCGTGCCAGCGGAATCGGTTTTCGTCGGAGCCGTCGCAGTTGAATTTTTTCTCATCAGAAAACACGACCGCGAGAAAAAAAACTGAAAAAAAACAACACAGACAAGCAGTAGGGCACCGCAGCCAAAAGCTAACCTCACTCCATCGGTTCGGCAACATCTTCTAGCAAAGCCTATTCGGTTTTCACTATGGTTTACCGTTAGAAACGGTGCCTTCCTAATATTCCCCCTGTGGGTGAACTCAGGACTTTTTCAAGACACGCCTAACAGTATCCTTCGAGACATTAACCTCGAAGATGACTTAATTTCCCGACACGACACTGCAGAGTTGGATGCTTTCCTCAGGATACGGCGCTTATTCCGATCGGGCAGCAAAGGAGGATGTCCAGAACTCTTCTCAACTCAATATCGTATAGGTTACTTGAAAAAATTGTTGATAGCATGATAAGTGCGGACCAAAGCTTCGTGCGATTCGACGGTACGACAGTTTTGAGTCTTCTTTGCGATAATCCGTTTACCTTCCAAGTCCGATAATGGATTTCCACTCGCCTTGAAAAGGCAAAAAGTTTTCAGCAAGGGGAAAAGAATGATGAGAAGTTTTACCTAACAAAAATGAGATGCAGCGGGAAAATATGCGGTGGAACTATAATTTTGAATTATCAGAACGACCTTTTTTGAAAAAATGAAGAAAAAAAGTTTTTCTTTCAAGCTAGAGTTTGGTGTTGGCATGCGAATTGGTATTGGTAATTACCACATTTTTTGTATGGGGCATTTTTGAAAACGTCGTGTAAGACGGGATTTTGTGAGATTCATGGGTGGGACTATAATTATGTTTCGTAGTGTATATTATGAGTCCAGGTACACAGGCGTTATGTAACACCCTAATCTGGACGTGAAACCGACTGTGTAGGAACAGGGAGTGCACAGAACCCCATCCGGTCGGACTAACAAGGAAAGGATGGTTGGTCGAAGTGGCCATTTAGACAAGATGCATACACACTGATGCGTCTTCGGACGCTGATTTCAAATCTGCTTTCCATATCTGCTAAACGATTCTCTGAGCAGAGATATGCAGGAGGTTGTTGTACGGAGCACAATTGAGCTTGGTAACACAAATGAGACGTGAGTCGTCACACGAAGTGCATCGGTGGCCTAGTGGGTAGTGTGCCGCGCTCAAGTATGCGAGGTGAGAGGTTCGAATCCCTCCATGAATCGCCATTTTGCATTTTCTCAAAAATGCCTCCTGCACATCCGGAAAGAACTTCTGTGAGGCTAGGAGACCTGCATTCTACAACAAAATTTTTCATTTCTGATGGTGATAGAGCCATTCTGGAACACTCCTAGTGGGAACTCCTGATTGTTGGTTTCGGCGGCATTATTCGTTCCGTCGTGTTGTGAGGCCAAACTGATTCCAGATGGCATGGAAGCCAAAAGTGGATGTCGTGGTTGTTATCAGGACCGTCAGTAACCAACAAGGACTAAGATTTAGCGAGGAACCTCCACTGCTCACAGAGATTTGAATCGGCGATAGTGCCAGCAACCTTTAGGAATTGGCTGCCTATGGTTACCCCACTGTATCGAAAATAGGTCGAAATCTCAAATTTGGTTGAAAACTTGTTCTCTAGTTGCTAAATTTTAGCCCCCCAGAGCACGAATATGCCGCTCGCTGCGTTTGACTAAAAACGCTTGCCAAGGACGATTCGCAGGTTTAGCTGCACAACCCTGCCCTCCAGACTGGCCGTACAAGACCGTTTTCACGAAATATGACTGCAGTGTTGATTTCCAGGGCACTGAAGCACCTCTAGTTTCAGATTCCAGCCAATTTGGGCAATTTGGAGCACCTCATATACATGCTGGAAATGGGTGTGACCTGGTCAATCCTGCATAACTTTGTCCAGGAAATCGTTTAGCAGATATGGAGGGCAGATTTGTAATCAGCGTCCAAAGGCCCATCGGGCAGTATACGTCTCATTTCGAATGGCCACTTCGACCAACCATCCTTTCCTTGTAAGCAGCTCCTGGCCAGATAGAAAGCAGAATTAACGTCGCTCCCGCTTATCGGCCTCAGCGAATCAAAGATGAAACGTACATCAACCATGCTGCACGACGGGGTATAACACAGGCTCATGAACATGGGTAACCAAACCTGCATACGATATGCCCAATAATGTGCATTTGAGGAGACAACATATTTAATTTCACGCGCAATTTTCAAGAGTACTGTATAGAGCCTGTTTTCCTGAAGCTTCAATTTCGTGGTACCTCCACTAACTTTACATTCGAAACGCTTGCTTTCCGCTCAAAGGATTCAAAGATCTAGGTCGACCACTTCACTTCACTTTTTGCCTAAAACGCTCGAAACGCTGACGAAAAGTAGGAACGCAGTTTAACGGGTAGCACTTTCTTCCGATTTCTCCATTCTTCTGAAAGGCTAGTTGGTGGAGTCAACAGACTAACTCTACTTCGCTTGCACATTCCCTATACTTACTCTTTGCGGCTGATTCTTCCGTAGCGAGATTCCCCCTACTCACAGTTTGAATGCCGCCTTTTCGTAGGAAGCGTTCAGACTGAGTCGCAACGACCGCCGCGATCGCCGCTGCTGTCGCGAAGTATGAACGCTACCAAAAAAATAAAGTAGGGGGACCAGACCCTTCATTCAGTAAAGAGTAACAGGGTTTGCATCCCTGCTGACTGCAAGCTTTTATGGCAAATAAAATTGAAGGAACGAAAAATAACTCAAAAATTCAATACACATACCGACAGCTTTTTTGCTTTTGTTCCTCATCTTCCGCTTTGCAGCGATCAAATCGATTTGCCGCTTCGTTCGTGGAATCCTAATGCGTATGAAACAACAGACCAACACCACTAAAATTTTTGACTAAGCATAAAGTTTCAGATGAAATCATTATACTGCTAGAACAAAACTATTTCGAAAAAACAAATCTTAAAAAAAAATCGTTTACTCACCCATTATAAGCAATACACCGAAGACGAGCGCGAAAAGCATCCACAGCCGAAGGCCTGGAGCAACGTAATCGTCCAAAGCCGACAAGTGACTGGCATCCATCTCCTTAGATGAACTATTCATTAATTACATCAGCCTTCACGAGAAATACAAAAAATTCGAGCATTCTCTCACATCTATAAGGAAGCGTTCATATTTGTGTTAGGCAGCGTTCAGACTTCGCGACGGCAGCGCTTCGGTCGCGCGTCGACGCGATCGATGCAGTCGAAAGCATGCGCATCGATCGCGCCGAACGCGCGACCGAAGCGCTGCCGTCGCGAAGTCTGAACGCTGCCTTACACAAAGTATGAACGCTTCCTTATCGATGTGAGAGAACGCTCGAATTTTTTGTGTTTCTCGTGAAGGCTGATGTAATTAATGAATAGTTCATCTAAGGAGATGGATGCCAG